TGACACCACTAAATTGGTAAAATGTTCCATGCACCTTGAGAAATTCTGAGAAATTACGAGGTTACCATCGCAGAACGCGCGAACTCCGCTCATCCTGACGTCACAAAGCTAATGTCAACAAACGCGCGCGATGTACCGCACTATAGTAAGGTGTGTTGCGAGGTGTTAGAACTATTTTGGGCGTGAGATACTTCTTGGATCACTAGCAGATGTACATGAATGTACCGGCTTAGTTAATATCGTGGTTGTATCATGTCTCTGACGTCATAATGACGTCAGCCGCTGCTTACTACACATGTACGAGGGCAAGCAAAAACGCTCTGACAGTTCACATGTACCGTTATATGGAGAAATTAGCATGTACACAGGTGGCACATAGTGTTAGCCATCGAATAAAGTTGAAAACGAAAAATCGATGAAATTTCATGCACAACGTGGAGAGTAAAACAAAATATTTTAAACAATTATTCTGTAATACTCTAATGTAATTGGAATTAGCAAATATGACATCTCTCATTTTCATATAGATTCAGTAAAGTAAATCCAATTATTAAGAGTTTAATCAATTATGCAAGATCAAGAGGCATCTTATATAGATATGGTCTTTATTTGGCATTCACTTATTAATGTTGCCGAAAAAGTGATGCAAATTACCACATTCAATGATCTTGATCAGTTCTTTGTTTTGTCGTGTTCATTTTCATCTCTGGTCTACCGATATATGTGTGTGTAACTTATAGTTATTTTCTTGTAGAAGCTCGCTTTCGGTGCGACAGGAATAGCAAATTGATGGATGTTGAAGAAGGTAGCCGAAACGCTGAGATATGCACCTCACCGTAGTGGGGAAATAGTTTTAAAGGTAAACTGTTATTTTTCTTTCATTTCATTATTTAATGAAATACACGTGCATGCTAGCTATGCAGACCTTTTATTATAAACTTAAATCAAAATGTTAATAACCTTAAACCCAAAAAACAAACACAAGTATTGTGCATATTGTAAATACATTTATGTTTTTAGTAAATATATATAGTGAAACCTCTCTATTAGGATTAACCTCAATAGAAATAATTTCAACCTGGTTGAGTTTGTTATCGTTTTTAAAAGATAGGTCCAAATTTAGGTATTTGACTATAATTTTCCTAAAAAAAGCATGTTTTATGTATTTTTAGAGAAACAAATGTAGTCATATGAAAGTGGTAGGGCCGGCCCAAGATATACTTTGGAAAAAATAATAAACAGTATATTTTTTTTGTAGTCACAACACTTTAGGGCCGGTCGACTTGTAGGGCCGGGGGCAAATGCCCCCTTTGCCCCATAGATAATCCGCTACTGAACCCACACCAAAACCACCAAAATCGTCGGTGTGGGCATTGGTCAGAGGAATCTCGGACTACCAGTGTACCACTGCCTGTGCCGGTGTCCCGATATATTTACGAGTAGGCCTACTACCTTAGTACTAAACCGACCAGGCTCTCCGACTGTTACTGTTAGTGTTACACGGCCACGTAGTGTTAAGCGAGATGGGAACTTGTGGCTACCTTAGTACTAGACCAATAAATTGTGCCCTAAAAAAAATTATTTTCTGGTGTTATTATCAGTTATAAGTTGCAACTATTGGAAAATATTACTATTAGCTAATGCTTGACTGCTTATTAATGAGTGCTAACTTTCAGGAAATGGCGGAAAAGGTTAGGCAGTATGGGCTCGACGATGTGAAACGTTTGAAGACAACAGGTACAATCCGTCGTGACTGACGTTACGAATTTGAGGTTACTGCAGTATATAAAAAAGAATTATTGTACGGCTGCTATTGTCACTTCATCATTAGCTCTGTGCTTCTTATGTGTTGAGGTGGAAGTTTGGAGCGCGACTGCATGACGTTACGAAAAATTGACATGCAAAAAATCTAGTCAACTCTGATTCAAAATTTTCTTCAAACTACTGACTGGAAAATTGTTTCTTATGCCAAATACAAGACCATATATATACATATCCCACTAATATACATAGAATAAACAAACTCAAAAAATGATGAATGATATCCAGTAATGTACATAATATGGTGTGACTGACGTTACGATTTGTCCACTTACAATAAACAGTCTGCACGCCAACACCTTGAATATATCTATGCTGTCAGCTTGGCTCAGTAGGGTAAGATAAGAGTTCTAAATGATATGGAGTTTTCATGTACCACAAATATAAATTGAATTGTCAACAAATTGTGTAAAAAAAAATTTCTTTTTCATGTCCACCTACCTACCACTCTACTTACCCAACAGGAGACTACCCCAAACAACTATCGAAATCGGCGAAATCGGGACTATGGAAGTATGCGCTGTATTTTAAGCTCATTGGTATGTATTGTTATTGCGCATGTCGCTGTAATGTTTATTAATAGTAACATAAAAGCAGTATATTATGGATATTTTCCATGCAATTTCATAATACGGTTACACACTTAGAATTTGGCTTATAAATATATCAGCCATTTCACAGTGACTTGCATGACATTTCTGCAAAAATCTCACTTTTAATTGTCTGGCATTCCTATATTAGCTTGCTGCTACTTGCATTTAGTAGAAAATACTGCTATTTCAGTAAAGGCACTAGTTATGCATATTTAAGCATAACTCGTTATTGCAGCCGCATTAATATATTCTCAGAAATTACAAGCTATTCTACGTGACTCGTATGACAGGCTACTAACACACATGTGTTGAAGTATACTTCACACATTAGAACTAGGTGACGTGCTCCGTGATTTTTCACTCTATATATAAATGTCCAAGGATGGCCATTAGATGTAACTTTGCACGCTGAATGTCATGGGCACATTCATTGGACATTCTGACCTCGAGGTCATTCTAAGCCAAAAAACGGGAAAAAACTAGCCCCTGCAGCCAGAAACAAATGAAATTACTGGGCCTCTCGTGCAGACAGCAATAGCTGGCCCCTGAGACCGAGACCGAAAGCAGCTGCAGTATCATACTTACCCTTTCTAAACGGAAATACCCTCTGTGCTAAAAAGTAACACTGGTGTTCAGTGGGAATTACAGTGTTCGTCGAAATTGTAGTAATTTGTGTTTAGGAATGTGTGCAGCTGTTGGTACATTGGGAAGTCCAAAGAAGAAGGAAATCGAGGCGGTTGCATTTTCACGAAGAAGGACAATGAGCCGGTAGAGAATGCGGCATGCAAGCCATACACACATGATACGTATGCTACGTATGTCTGTCATGTCAAGGTGTATATTATCTGAATGCATAGGAATGCTATGATCTGTACAAATTAGGTTTCCTGTTAATACATTTCCTAACTATTATATATGATATATATTATGTAAAAGTAGCATTTATCTGGCGACGGTACATTGACTCTATGTTGATGTGAACGGTGGTGGATATCAAGTATGCAATCTCTACAGCCTGATACAGGATATGTAGTGCACTGCTATATGCTCTGCCCTACAAATTTATTATGCCACCGGTCTTAACTTGTATGAGGAATCTACATGTTTTCATGTATCATGACTGCGCTATATGTGAGTCGTGCATCTGTTTATGTATTATTTTTTTCATTTCCTTTACTTTATGTCTTCTTAAAATATTGAGCGCCTATTACCAATTTAGATGATTTCTTTTAATGGTGTTGATTTGATTTATAGTTATAATATATTTCGGAAGTGTATATTAAAGTTAAAATTGGTATAGTCGATACTAATTTTCTGAGCTGGTATTCGTGCATGCTGATTTGACTGTCATGTCAATGTAAGTGTCCTGAATGAGTGGAAACTTCTATGTTTAACTACATATTATTTTTACCTGTCTATTAAATTCCTGTAACGTACAGTCTTTCTACTAGCGACGGTTGTATTGACAACCTACGTTAGATAGCTAGCCGCTCAGCCTCGTAGAATTACCTATGAAAACTCGATCAATAGGTACGTTTTAATGTAATGGCACTCTTTTAGTGTTAAATTTTTTTACCATAAATGTTATTCATTTCATACTCGTTTTATTTCGTTTTACTTGCAGTACTCAAATGGGAAATGGATGAATTTAGCACCCACTACCTATCATCTATGTATACTTACATATAATCTATCTTGCTATCTTATCTCATTTACCTGGCTATCTATCCTATCATATCCTATTTATCTCGTGTGCGAACATCAAGGCTGCACGGGCTTATCTATTATCTATTTATCTATATCCAGGCTAAGATATGTATCAATTTCACATCATCAGTATATATCATCAATAATGCTAATTTTGATATTGTAATGTAAATTACAGCGATTACATGTAAATTAGATTTCCAGGTGTTGCGAGCTTCTCTCAATAATAGCTACCCTACAAGTCTAATCTAGCTAGAAATGGTAGATAGCTGGGAAATTTCTCTCTAGTCGGAAACTTTTTCGTCCGGTCATCCGAAAACCCTCCGGTCGATCCTAAATATAGCTGGCGAATGTATAAATTCTAGCTAGGAAAAAAAAAATTTTGCACTCGGATCACTCTAAAAAACTATAGCTGACAAATTCGCCTAATCATTCTCAATATTGTATTCGATATATGTAAACACTAAGCCTGAAGGTAATTAGTTGTATGGCTGTAAGAATATGCGGCTTACTTATTTACAGGCTGGGAAATTTCTCTCCTATCGTCCTAATCTGCTAGAAAAATGTTCCTACCTAGACATCTTGCAAGCCCCGGATCCCGCGCGAAGGTCCGAACAGGCCATCTGCATGGCCGCCATTAGGGCGTCAATTCGCTGCCAATATGTATAACTATATTACGCAAATCCGTTGTGTGAGTACCATTAAAGCCCAGAATCGGTGAATTGAGCAGTTCTGGCCTTGCCGAAGATTTGTTGGATTTGCCGAGGTAGCGGAATAAGTCGATATGGTCGTAATTGGTGTTTTTTTTTGCTTCGCCCGCGGTAGTTTTTTTCTATAAAAACATACTTCATTTGATTTAATTAAAGCCTGAAGCTTATTCTGTACATACTCGCGGCCGAGATTCGCGCACGTAGCTCTCTCCGAGGCATTCGCGACCAATTTCGATATAACTGCCGCGCCCGGCGGTCGAGAATTTCTACACGCTGCAGTACTTATAACTTTGTGTAGCGCAAGCGTTACTTGCCGATAACTGTCCGTCGGCAGTCTAACCTGTAGTCGCTGACATGCGTGTTAGTTATGTAGCCATCCTTGCTTCTGCCTTATTGAACCGTATAAACACAAGCGCTTCGCTTCCTCTCAGACTCTAGCTGCCGTGTGGGGTGGGCCGTTTTGTGCATTTACAAGCACTGGCAGTGCCGTTCAAGCCCGCAGTACAGCACACATGCATGATCATCAGTTCGTTTAGACTGAGCACTAGCGGACTAGAACGTGCAGACAAGATGGCGTTTGCCCGCAAAAGTGGCGTTGTTACCCTGCCGCAACTTACTACTTACTACTAGTAGTAGTAGTATACTATTACCAGCCACTACTAGTACTAGTGACTAGTATGACGCAGGACCGGACAGGCAGCTATAGTATAGTCAGATAATGCTAACTCTGCTTACTAGTATAACTTACTTAGCTAGTATGACGCAATCGACTAAACCTGTAACCTTTAACCTATTATATGGATATAATATTTTATTTAGATTGATTGTAACATGAATCTGCGTTTTATTAGGCCATGCCATACATTGGGGCCCATATAATATGGGAGCCATTGTTCTCGTATCTTGAACCACGAGGACGACTAGGACTACGATACGACGGCAAGTAAACGCGCTGTGCGAGGGTGAGAAGACCCGAGGCTAGGACGAGACACGGCTGAGCGTGGCATAAAGATAATGCGAACCGAAGACGAAATCGATGACGACGACAGGGGGCAGGGGCGAGTAGAGGCCGACGCGCGGTCAAGAAGCGGGGCGAGGGGCAAAGGCTTAGATAGAGACGAGTCGTCGTGTCTTTCCGCGTTAGTTGAGCAGGTGGTCGTAAGTTCGATGTTCCTGAGGGGCGATTGAGGTTGGCCATGGGTCGGAGTGAGATGTGGTGCGTGTGGGAGGTCGCGGCGCGCTCGGATGGGCGCTGCGGATCGCTTCCGGGCGTCGGCGGCGGTTTGGTGGGTTCGGGCGCAGGATGAGGGGTGTGTCGTAGGCTTGGGTTGGTGTTGGGTTGCGCGCGTTATTTGAGCGCTGTTGTGTAGTGGTGTGGTTGGAGTGTGCGATCCTATGGTCTGGTTTTGTTTTTTTGTTTTTTTGTGCGGGCTATTGATTGTGTGCATTGGGTGTTTTTTTTTGTTGTTTGTAGTCTGTGTGTCTGCGGCGCGGGTCGTCGCGGACATCTGCTTGGGAGTCGTTATACTGAGATGTGTTGACTTGTTTTGAGCGAGTGCATCGACGTGGGTAGTGCTAATGTGGCGTGATTGTCGTGCTCTTATGTATATTATTTGTGGCGGAGGGCGGTCTGGCTGGTTCTTGTATGGGTCCGTGTTTGTGTCCGTATCAATGTGGTTCTTTGTTGCTGGGTCGCTACGCTTTAATTCTGAGTGTCGCGGCATGTCTGGGTCTGTGAGGCGTCGTGGCGTAATCTTGGCTTTGTGTTTTTTTAGCGCTGTGTTTTTTTTTTTTTCTTTCGTGTTGTTTTTTCTGGTAGATATTTGGCCGCGATTGATGATTGTCGGCTCGTGCGCATGCGCATATGGTGGTTTTCATTTTAGCATATGTCGTGTCTCTTTTGTGGGTTCTGCAACGCGGCTTGCGAGGATGCTGCCTGTTGCATGTCGTGTGTTTGTTTGTTAGAGGTTCATAGGTGGTAGGGGGGTGTGTTCGGAGCGGTCAGATAGTGATTATCTTCGTGTTGGTAAGATGGTGCTGTATTCTTTCACATTGGGCTTTGTGTATCATTTTGTCCAACGGTAGCTTAGGATCTCGGGGTGTTATAGTACTTGTGGTGGGATCGGATGGTCGCTTTTGAGTAGTGATGTGGTGTTGTGCCTTTATGGGGATTTTCTTTTTTCTGTATGTTTTTTTTTCTTTATTTTTTCTTTTTTTTGTTTTCTTTTCATTTTTTGTTTTTTTTGTTTTGTTTTTTTTTTTTTTTTTTTTTTCTTTTTGTCTTATTTTTTTTTTTTTTTTTTGTGTATTTTGTTGTTTTATTGTGTGGCTTGCACGGTGGCTGTTGCTAGGTGTGTAGTGATCGGGTGTGGTTTGCGTATGTCAGGTAGTGTGTACATATTTGCACACTGTAGTGTGAAAGGTAGACAAGCGCACTAATTGGATGGTACAAGCCACGCACGGCTGTTTGTTTTTTGTGTAGAGGTGGGGAACGACACACGCACTTCAGGTCTAGCTACTGTTTGGGGACGTTCTCAGTTTCTATCCGTCGTTCTTTTTGGTACTGCAGCATGTATGTAATCAGCTTTTTTTTCATTGTGTGTCGAGTATTGCGCATGATGCACACGCAGCGAACTTGATGTATATGTACTTTGATGTATATTTTTGTATTTACAGTGTGGGTTTCGTGGTGCGTGATGATTCAGCGAGCTATTTCTATTTCTTATGTGCTATCCATTCAGCATTTCTACATGCGTTCTCACACAGCATCATACTCATATGCTACGCTCACGTGTCACTCGTTGATCGAACACACAATTTCAGTCTTAACGCTGTATCGAAACTGTCACATTACTACACGCTAGCAAATCGACACATTATTTATTTTGTTTTTTTTCTTTTTTTATTTTTTTTTTTGTTGCGTCATTTCGTTTTTTAGTTGCCTTCATCAGCAGACTACCGATTGTTTTTTTTTCTTAGTATCTGTTGCTTATTTTTTCTGTTTCTGATTTAATTCTTATTCGTAGTTGACTTAAGTCACGATGCGACGAGACACTGTAAGTCACTGTTTTTTTATATGTTGTATTATGTTAATATACAGCGTCGAACTGCATTTTTCGATCATTTTATCACCGGCGTCGATCAGCTTTGGCTATACACGCACACACAGTACTTCTATATGTGATGTGTTGAGGTGCTGAGAGATAGCGTGGGGAGAGGAGATGGAGCTTGTCTGTGTTTTGAGGATGTGGGGCTGTATGTGAGAGATTTGATTAGGTGGATGTTAGAGTAGATGTTAGTTTTGGGTCAGATGATGAGATAGGTTTTTTTTG